CTATAGTTCCTTTTCTGTTCTATGCTACTCACACAAATAATTGGTAAATTCTAGAAGAGACTTTTCATTTAAAAGAATCAACTTGTAGTGGATTTCTTTTATAATGGGGAATAATTTTTGGCTTAGAGATTGCTACTCTTGATAAGAAAAAAATAATTTTAGAAATGTGTTGTTTTCTTGGATGTTTAATGGGAAATTTTGTACTATGGAATATGGATTAGTGAAAGTAAAGACAGGATATTGACTTGAAATCTAGAGAATACTGAGAAAGCCTTGGAATTTTCAAGTTATGAGGCCTTTATACATTTAAGTATACATTTTAATTTTCAAGTTATAAGGCCTTTAATACATTTTAAATAAAAATAAGTAAATCAAAATGAGGTGACTAAATCACAAGGTTTGACAAATCCTATAGCTCTTAATGTATTCATACCACGGGTTAGCTCTGCAAGGTGCTTGAACCAATTTATTATTTGGTTATGCAAATTTGTCTTTTCATAAATCCAGGAAAACATGCAATAGTATCACATATTTCTTTTAATTATACTTGTTTAGTTATAATAGAGGCTGAACCTGTTTCACATATTTTGTCACTGTTTATTAATCTGAAAACTACCTTATATCAATTCTTGTTAAGCTTATCTTTATGTAAAGTTAGAAATATACTTAGGAAATAGAAATGAAAGTTAAATATAAACGATTCGTTTTCTGCTTACTTGTGACAAAAGAGCAGAATCCAGTAAACTGAACCAGAGCAAGACAGCCTGTCCTCCCCCCTCCACATTGGGCCTCCTCTACCCCCCCATAGAATATAAGCTCCATTAAAAGAATCATGTTAGTTGTGTTCATTTGTTGTGTATTTGGCATACAGTTGGCACTTAATAATGAGTAAGGGCAGGGAGGAGGAAGAAGGAAAAAGGAAGGCAGGGAGGAAGGGAAACCTCATATTTCTCATATGTCCTAATAATAAAAAGCATCACTCTTTAATTTAGCATTTAACAACAGAAAATGAGTTTGTTTTTGTTTCATACTTTTTTGATTATCTGTATAATTTTGATGAGGAGGTCCTCTAAGTTCCAGGGGTTCCTAAAAGCGGGCTGTGAACTAAACCGTATATTCCACATACGACTTTATGTTGTATATTTCCCAGTATATTATACTTTTGAGTATAAAAATGGGCATCCCTAATTGGTCCTCTGCACCCCTTGCGTGAATTTGGATGTGTGCAAACATTTGTTGCATGCTAATTCCTGCCCTGGAGTCTGCTCAGGGTGTTTCTCTTTACAAAAAAAAAAATAAAAAATAAAAAGAATACCCTCTTCTTCCCTGTCAATCTATCTACATCCTTTCCACCCTTCAAAGTTCTGTGTAAGTCACATTTGAAGTCATGGAATGTAAAGCTGTTGCCTGTACACCATCTTTGCTTTCTTTTTTTTCCTTTAAGCTCCCTGGGCATTCTGGGAAGCCCATCAGACCCCTCAGCTGAAGACCCTGCGGTCTGCCTGCCTGACTCCCCGGGGACGCTGTCTCTGCTTGCTTCTGATGAGACTCTGAAACCCTGGACAGGTCCCTGGCTGTCCCCTGGGGCAATCCCCCCAGCCTGGAGCTGACGTGGTTTGAACTCCCACACAGGGCTGCTTCTGCCCTACTTCTGGATTTTACTGTAACTTGCTTAGCAGCCAGAGGTGCTGAAGGTGCAGAAAGACCCTGTGGGTTTGCTTTTGTAATGTTCAAATTGTTTCCAAAACTGTTCAACATTTCCTGCTTTTGTTAATGCGCTCCTTGAGTTCTCTCTGTTTTTTTTTTTTCTTCTTTCTTTTTGAGGGCGTTTGGTCATTGCCTGTCATTCCTGGGGGTCCAGTCCCTATTCTTTATTATCCATTTTGATTACTCAGATTTCTCTTTCTCAGTGTTTCTCAGTAATATGCTATGATTTTCCCCACTCTAGTTCAATTTCTTTGTTTTCCTTACCTCATGCCTCCTGGCTCACAAACACATGTATGCAGGTATCTCTCCTGTCTTCTTTTTTTTTTTTTTTTAGCCACCGTCACATTTCCTTCTGGCATTTGATTATTGGTATTCTCCATTACTGCTGCTATTTAAGTAACAAGTTTCTTTGGGGGAAAAAAAAAACCCAAGCCACTTAGTGAAATTTTTGATGTCAACCTTCACCTCAACTATTTTGAGTCGTTTTATCTTCTCTTCAAAACAGATGATAATTTCCCATGTTCACAACTCACGGAGTTAAAGGACATCACTACAGACTGTGCTTGATGTTACAATGAATAATACTCTTCCCTGCCTCGTTGTAAGGAATCTAATCCCACTTGGTGTTGACTGTCTGCTTTCTACTCATTCATTTATTGGGTAAAAATCTGAGCATGGAGCATATGACAGGCACCGAGGAAGCAGTGGTGGGGCAGTGAGAAAACATGTCCTAGAATGTCTCTGCCTTCACAGAGTTTAGAGTCCAGTGAGAAATTCAGGCAGAAAATGAACTGACTTTTCACTCTCAATTTTCTTTCCCTTCTCACTTAGGAAAAGCTCATCAAATACAACTTCATGTGTCAGTTGCTGTGCTATGTGTTAGGGTCTCCCACCCTCCAAGTCAGCCCCCCCTCAAGAAGTGTAACTTTATAACCTGTCTATGTTAAATTTATGAGAAAGACTGATTATTTATGGATGGGATGGGGGGATAGGATTTCACTGAAAGGGGTTCTATTGGTAGACGGTACTGCTTATTGTGTTCAGAGTGGTAGAGGAGGGTTCCAGAATGAGCCACTTACCTAAAAATTAAAAAATGACAGTATGAAATGATTTGTCTCCCTTGGGTGCTTAGAGGCTGCAGGGGGTTTAGTTCTGCTGGGATATAGGCAGTGATGGAGAAATGGTAGGGGATGTGGTAGTCAGTCACTAAAGTCATGAAACCCAAAAATAAGTTTAATTTTCGAAAGTGCAAGAAATCTGGATAGAAATACTGGGCCAGGTCATAAAGGGGCAAAGCTGGGATTGAGACCTAGTTGGTCTGAACCTGTAACTTATATTCTGGCAATACTATATGAAGATAAAATGATAAAGAAAATGTCACTCATTCTTAAACATTAGTGTCATCAAACTCCTTCAAAGACTTATTAAAGCAGATTGCCAAGTCCTACCTATCTACTGATTCCTAAGTCTGGATGGGGCTAGAGAATAAGCATTTCTATTGAGTTTACAGGTGATGCTGAAATACACAGAACATTGGCGTGGTGATGAAAGGACACAAGTTAAATAGTAAAAGTTTGCCCCAATGCCAGAGTGGTCCATGGGTAGGCAGGTGCCTCAGAGTTAAGGACATTCAATTTATGTGACTTTGTAAACTGCCATAAGACACCTGGATACTGAAGGGAGCTCAGGACCAAGTTTATCCAAAAAATTACTGAGAAGAGTGAGGATTATATTTCAGTCAGGGGATGATATGAATAGTGCAAGGCTGTGGGAATGTAATGGGAAATTCCTAACTCACACTGCCTTTTCTGGCCTTTTCTCCTCTCTCTACCACTTAATTCTGTGGTGGACATGGACACATTCCATTCACTGTTTAAAGACTAATGTGGTTAGAAGTGTCTCCCAGGAGAGAAAGTCAAAATTCTCTTTGTCAGTTAAGGAGAACAACTTCGCTGTTCTTTGAGCCAACCAGACTAAACCTTTGGTCTACCTTTACCTAAGACTTAGTAATATTTTTTCAAGAAAAAAAGTAGTTCTCTTTCCCCAAATAATTCTGTACACCTTTTAAGAATTTAGAGCTGCCGTATGACCCAGCAATCCCACTCAGGGGGATCTACCCAAAGAACACAAAAATATTCATTTGAAATGAAACCTGCATGCCTGTGTTTGTTGCAGCACTACGTACAATAGCTCAGATATGGAAACAACCTAAAGGCCCAAAACCAGATGACTGGATCAAGAGGTGGTACCTATACACAGTGGAATACTATTAAGCAATCAAAAAACATAAACATGCCATTGGCAGCCACATGGATGAAGCTGGAAAGTATTTTGCTCAGTGAGATAAGTAAAAAGGAAGACAAATATTGCATGGTTTCACTTATAGGAGGACCATAGGGAAGCCGAACAAGGGGTCAGGAAAAAGGAGACAAAACCAGAAGGCAGGGCCTCCCTGGTGGTGAAGGCGATTGAGCGCCGCACTGTGAAGCTGTCCACAGTCTCTGCAGTACAGGTTCGATCCTGGCCAGCTGGCAAGAATCCCACATGGCAAAGCAGACCTCTCCTGTCTCGCCCGCTGCTACCCTCAGCAGTGTATTTCGTCAGTCTGCCTGTTCTGTTCCCCGCTCTGTCTCTGGTGAATCCTCTCACCCTCCCATGTATCTGGCCTGTACCCCAGTTCTTGTATAAAAATAAATAAATCTTTAAAAAAAACTAGCAGGCAAAGTATAAATCAGAGACACACCACAGCAGAGGGGAAGGGAGGCAAGAGCACAAGAACTATGGTGACAGTTCACGGGTGACTTGGTGATGAGAATTTCATGGGGACCACCTGAGAGGAGAAATCAAACATTGTACAAAAATGAACAGTGATTGATATAAGATATAAATGCATTAAAAACAAATAAAATTTAACTTGTTTTATAAGCAAAAACATGCAATGCCACTATGTACAAATATTACATTGACTATTAAAAATTGAAAAAAAATTGAGTACTTAAAGCTTTCAAAACACCATTTCCCCCACTCCTGGTTTTATGGATATGTTGCTAAGGGCTATGTAATACTTGCCCAGTGTTTGCACTTCAAGCTGAGGCTTTAAAAAAAAAAAGAATCCCAGCCATTACAACAGTTTAATGAATTACTGGAATTCATAATAAACTCATTTAGATGATACTTGTTGATTTTATTTTTAATTTTTTTGTTGAGGTAACACTGTGATTAAAGGTATAGGATCACATCCTTCAGGTATGTTACTCCACTACACCCACCACCTGGGCACCCATAGTCTTCATCGTAGTCCATTATGCTTCACAAATTTGTGTGTCATCCTTGTGCAGGGGCCATGCTAATCTTCTCTGTATCGTTCCAATTTTTGTATATGTGCTGCCGAAGCGAGCACGTATTTTAGAAATTCTTAACTGAGAAAACCAATATGGTTTTATTAAGTATCTGCTATGATAGTGTTTTAGGAGTCCTGGAAAACACCAGGACAATCCCAACTTTTTCTCTTACCTCCAAACTTACCTGGAGAGTCCTACTCCAGTGTCTCAGGAAAAGTTGCATCTTCTTCAAGGCTAAATTGTCTGTAACTACATTCCTTCTGTTTCTGCAGAGATCTTGTTCATTTGTCAAGCATCATTGTCTCCTTGTATCTTTGATCTGTGCATCTTCACTAGATTTTTCCTCTCAGCCATTCAGCTTCTCAGTTTCTGTCTCTCCCTGAAAAAATTGTCAACCTCAAGGCTACCTACCTTTCTTTTACCTTTTTTTTTTTTTTTAAAAAAAGGAGGTAGCTTTTTCTCTATTCTGTTACCTTTACCTTTTGCTGTAAAAACTTCAGGAACTAGTCATTTCTGTTTAACTGAAGGCTTACTCATATATTTTCTACTGTTTTCCATTCTTTTGAGATCGTTATTTCTTCAGTTACTAATATTCTGCAATTACCAAATTCAAAGTCCTATCTTCAGGATAGGACTGTGACTGTCTTCTTTTGAAATCCCCTGTTCTTTTAATTCCATGACTCCACCATTACGTAATTCTCTATGACTTCTATGACTTAAACCGCGCCCCCCCCCACTGCCCCTCTCTCTCTTGGATGGGTGTGCCTCTAGCTGCTGCTTGAATTTTCATGCACCCCAGGAATTTATTTCCATTTATTCTTCACCACTTCCTCTTTCCCTTTATGTCTCTAAACCTTAGAGAGATCCCAGCATTTAGTCCCTTAAGAATTTCTGTTCTCTAATTCAATCTGTTTCTATTTGACCTAGACCCCACTATGCATCATTTTAGCTGCTCTCTTGCCAGATATCTCATCATCCTCATTGTCCTGTACTTCTTGCATCATTTATTAAAATTACTTGCCTGTGGATCCACCCAATATTATCTTCGGGTGCTTTCCTCTAGGCTATGCAGTTGGCTGGAGAATATCACAACTGATTGATTTTCATATTAAGCATTGCTTATCAGTCCCTTTCTGTGGACTTAATCTGTTCCATGCATTGTGCCAAAGGATTTTATTTCACTGTTTTTTAATTTAAATCTCTTAACTTTCATCCGTAATTCTTAGAACAGTTAGCTTTGTCTATAGGAAAGTGACTATTGGATATTTATTCCATTTTCATTATCTCTTCACATTGAAGCTTCATTATATCATTATGCAATGTTATCTCTGTTCCTATTATTCTGATTGAAAGATATCTAAGATGAATTTTACCCATTTGCAATGACATGGATGGAAGGAGGGGATAATGTAAAGTGAAATAATTCAGAAGGAGAAATACTGGATGTTTTCACTTATATGTGGAATATAGAGAAATTTGAAAAAGGGTCAGCCAGAACTAAACCAATACTAAACCTCAGAAGTCTCACTGCAGAACTGAGGCTACCAAAAGGGCAGGAGAAGGGTAGAGGGGGCCCAATGGACTACCATGGAGATCTGTGGGTTTCGTGGTGGGTGTGGTGTTATTTCACATATCTGGAGAGGTGTAATCTTAAACCTCTGAATCATTCACAGTGTTGTAAACCAATTTTGCCTTAAAAAAATAAATTTCAGTGCACTTAAAAATCTGCCTAATGATAATTTTGTTATCTATATTCTAAATTCCTTTTACTCTCTCTTACAGGACTCGGATAGTTTCTTTATCATTTACTTCTTCCCCATCTTTATTTTCAAACCTTTAACTAGACTCACTGCTCTCTCACCACTCTAACTGCTTTAAAATAGGACCTCGAATAAATGGCCATGGGTACTACCTTCCTGGAAGAAAACTTGAAAACATGTAAATATTCTAAAAAATATCCTTTTCGCTCTCAACTTTTCTCTACATAGAATTATAACTTAGGAGGGGGGTTGTGAATTGGAAATGTTAAAATGAAATACAGTTGTATCTCTTCCAAAGCCTAAATGTCAGCATGTGTGTTATTTAATGAATAATAGTAAACTATGTTAGAGCTTCTCAGATAGATATGGCTTAGCAAAACCCTACCAAATATTCATGTTAGGTAGGTATTTATTGTTTGGAACAAAAATTCCAACTCAAGCTTGCTTAACATTTTAAAGTGTTTTATTATTGTAACTAAAAGCATCATAATTGTAGTTAGTTTTAGTTGAGGCCCAATGCAGTAACTCAAATTATGTCTCTGTAGACTATTTCTATCTACATCTCTACTCTGCCTTTCATATTATCAGTTTAATTCTCAGTCCTCATAATGGTTCCTCACTGAGGTTACCAGTGTGCTATTCTCATCTCTTTGCTTTATACAGCCAAGAGGACAAGGGAGAGCCTTTTTGATAGCTATTTCATAAGTTCTTAATTCATGGAACCTCAGGCCACAATTCCTTTATGGGTTAAAAAAATAATGTGCCATTTGGCTTAGGTCGGGGCCCACTTTTGGAGCTGGGCTGTGGTCAACCCTAACCAAATTGCATGACTAGAATGGGGAGGGCTGGTTTCTCCAAAGAAAAATGAGGTCATTCTTTAACAGAAATGGAAGAATAGATAAACAAATGTCCACTCTTTCCACCCACTGAGTCAATTTCAAACTGAACACAGACTCATAAAAAGGGGAAGAATTCTATGTATTGGGTGTCATAAAGCAAGGAAGAAGCAATGGTACCGAAAACCCATCCTTCTTTCTTTGGGTCTTCACAGGGAAATTTCTTCCAATTGAAAACATAAATCTTTCTGTTCTGGGAAATTTTCTTTCTTTTTTGTCTTGACATCAGCGAACATTTATTTTATTTTATTTTATTTAAAGATTTATTTATTTAAAGATTTATTTATTTATTTATTTATTTATTTATTTATTTATTTATTTATTTATTTATTTGTTTGTTTGTTTATTTATACAAGCCCTGGGTGCAGTCAGAAGCGAGGGAGGGTGAGAGAATTCACCAGAGCCAGAGCGTGGAACAGAACAGGCAGAATGACTAAGTGCACTGCTGAGGGGAGCAGCGGGCACTTCAGGAGAGGTCTGCGCGCCATGTGGGCCCCTCGCCAGCAGCCGGGGATCGAACTGGCACTGCAGAGACTGCGGGCAGCTTCGAAGCCCAGCGCTCAACTGCTGCGCCACCAGGGGAGGCCCCAACATTTATTTTTTAACTACAAAGGAAAAAAATGCATCTTTTTTTCTGCTCTCTCTGCAAAGTTGGGATTATAGTTACATTAAAAAAATAAAACAAACAAACAAACAAAAAACCAAGATGAACATTACAAGTTCCGTTTAGAATTAAGATAGCACAAAATTGCTGTCCTCGTGTATGCTCAGTGGGAACATTCTTGGGGGTTATCCTTTGGAAATAATGCATTCGTGGTACTTTTCAAAGGAAAAACTATTATAGTGGTGTTACTAATGCTCCAGAAGTGTAGCAAGTGCTGGAGTCTTGTCACAGAAAAAAAAGAGAAACTGAGTGAGTTAAAGAAGCAACAGATTCTAGGATATTTTCACGAATTATTTCATCAATAACACTCTCCCTTGTCTTTTTTCATTTTCCTTTACTGAAATTCAAGCCACTCAGATTTGGAACATTCTTATTCTAAACTTTTTTCTCCTATTTTCTTCATTTACTCTGCAAACCTTTGATTACGCTTTTCATTCCTGTTACTATTTTTTATTGCCAAAAACTTTTATTCCACAAAATGTTTCTTGTCTTGGAAAGCATCATTTCATGTCTCTTGCATATAGTGTTCTGATTTTAAAGAGAAAATGTTCAATTATTTTATCATGAAGTATTATGTAGACTTGTGATACATGACCTGTAGTATGTTGAGATAGGTTCATTCTATTCCTATCTTGTTAAGAGTTTTTTTTAGTCTAATGGGCACTGAATCATGTCAAATGTTTTCTGTGGGACTATTGATGATATGTGATTTTTATACTTTATTTTGTGTATATAATGTCAGATTATAACTTTCTAATCTTATTATTCCCAGAGCATAAGAATCTAGGTGTTAGCTTTGGGGAGCCATGTGAGAAAAGTGGGATGGGAATTCAGCATTCATGATATAGACTTTTATTTAACCCTCTGAGATAATGCAATGGTGCCTATTATCCATCAATATAGAATACTTTTGTTAAAGTATTTTTTTTTTTTGCGCTAGCCAAAGGCCAGTCTCCCATCTATGTGCATTATAAGAGGTAACTAGCCATATTGCTTCTTGAACAGATCTTTCATCGAGTCCTCTTATTTTTAGTCTTATCCTCATTCCCAGTTTTTGGGATAGCTGGAGTTACTAATTTCTGAAACAGTTGTCACTGCTATTCTAAATTAAAGCTTCTTGTCTGCCATGAATAACACTCATTCATTTATATTTCAGCTTCCAAAATTTTGTTTTGCTTTCTCTTCTCCCTTATCTTTGACCTTTAGACATACCTTTTTTAAAAGTGGGTATATTTATAGTTGTATCACCCAAGTGCATATTCCTAAATAGTCTGAGAATAGTCTTGCTATTTAAAAAAAGCTAACAAGCCACTTAAATTTCTTTTAATCTGCAGGTTCTGCTTCCATTTCTTTATTTTATTTAAAATGTATTTGCTGAAGAACTTGGGCATAGATCTACAGAGTTCCCATCAGCAAGATGATTATATGCTAAGGGTATATTCAACATGTCTCTCTTCTGTACTTTTGGTTTTTTTTTAGCATCTTTTTTAATGTTTATTTATTTATTTATTTATATTTTTTACATCACTGTGTATTCCCCATAAAATTCCCACCACCACTTCACCCATGAATCATCACCATAGTCCCTGTGTTCTTCTCTCCTCTACCCCGATCCCTTTTCCTCCCCTTCCATCACATAATGTCTCTTATCCATTATTGCCTGCTAGTTTTGTTTTTATTATTATTATTATTATTATTATTTTCTGTACTTTTGTAGTTGGATCTAGCTTAAAAACCAT